GGAAACCTCCAAGTTCTATTGATGAGTAACAATGCCCATTACTGGAGGGAACCAAGCCCCAGGCTGAGCTCTTTGTGCTGCTTCAGACACACAGAAGATGTGCTGAGTTGAGTATTTTGGAAAAACATGAGTCAGCAAACAGCTGAAATAGAACTACCCAATACACAGGGAAGTGTCACCATTTGAACCCCAAAAAAGAAGTGATATTATTTGACAGAGAGGCAGGAGGACAGGGGAAATCTTCCATGTTTCCTTACCATGGCCAGGGGTTTAAAGCTGTATTTATTCAAGATAGGTGGGTACCTTGCTTTGGACCACCACAGGGAACAGCTCCAGGAAATGATATAATAAAGATTCTGCTACATTTCTTCCCTAATGCACATAGAGGCAATATGTAAAAGCTTAAATTTCAGGTAGCTCTGAAGAAAGGCTTTACAAATTACTTCATCTGTCTGGTCACTGGCATTTCAGATATAATGTGATAAAAACATACCAGAAATTAAAACTGATGCTGTGGGACTGAACAGAAACCTAACCAAGAGACAATGAGTTGTGACAATAATTAGTGTCCTCAGAAAGTTATACTAATGAATATTAATATTCTGTTCACTGCAGTAAAGAACTGGAATTAGGATGCATTTACAATTGAAAATTCAGCTTTTTAAAATGTAGATAGATCCCAGCCACACACATCTCCCATGCAATTTTAGGTTTATTCCCACCTAACGATGTACCCCATGCTTTTTGCAATGTATTGCTAATATTTTTAAATATGTGAGGAAAATCTGTGTTTAATATCTCAAGGTTTACCAGCAGTATTTTGTCTATAATTTTTCCTTTAAGGATATTTGTGACCACTGATTACACAAGGAATGCAGTACTGGTACAGGTTTCAGAAAAGCAATGTACTGCCAATCCCAAATTCCCCATTTCATGTTTTGTGCTGACTTTAACAGTTATAAATTTTTTTCCCCATTGCTACTTTTTTCCAACTATAAACTTGTGTGTTTGATGTTAAAAAAAGTAAACCACATAAGTAATTGCAAAGTTTAGGATTCTGTCTTTGTCTCTGATCAAAACCAGTCAGCAACTGCATGGCTTCATCATGACAATTAAGAGTAAAGCAATTTAAAAATAATTTGTTCTTATATTTCATTGGAATGTTAAAAACTTGCTGCTGTAATTTTCAGTTCTCTATTTTTATTCCAATTCTTGAACAAAGCAGAAATAACCTCACATTCCTGAATGTGGATGTGTTTTTTTGACTCATGGAAATGATATTTTGATCAATGTTTTAATTAAATAACAGATCCGACTTCAACACAGCCCTTCTGTAAATATCACAGCAAGCCAGGAGGCATAAGGAAAATATCTATTCATGATATAATGTGAGAGAAAGCTGTTAAAATTAAGGATGACTGTGAAACATTTAAATCTATAGAATGTACTCTTGGTGACAGGTGAGACATGGTAACAGGTACTGAGGTTTGGGGTTCCTCCCAAGGGAATGGATATTTTTCAAGCATATAAAATTATCAGAGGTCTTCATAAGGCTACTGCTCACCTGTGGCACCACGAGGGAGATACCACAAAGGGTTTCAGGACAGAGATAAGAAAAGGAAAATGCTGTATATGAAGGTGGCCACTGCCCTGTAGTGCCTCATACCAGGCTGTAACATGCAAAGGCAAAATATTGCAGAGTTAAAAAGGAAGGATGGGGAGTACCAGTTTTCCTTTGGTGCTCAAGAAAAAGAGGATAGGACAACCAGATTGTAATTATTAAATAAAGGTATAAGTCTGCAAAATGGAGTCTGTAGGGAAGCTGTAAACCTTGGGTGCATATTTTGAAATGGCGGAGAAAAGAACTCGTAAGGGTGAAAGGGGAGGAAGGGGAATAAAGGAATAGAAGGTAAAGTAAAGCAAATCATGAGATCTGGCAGCCAAGAGGAGTTGCCTCTGTCCTGCTGCCTTTCAAGAGCAGCAGGACAAAGCCCTGCTCTGGCCCCTTGCCCTGCTCCCAGCAGCAGGCTGGACTCGCTGGCCTGAGCTCCTGAGTGCAGCCAGGTCAATGGTGGGGAGGCAATTCCAGCACCATGGGAATGATCAGGGCTGGCTGAAATGAACTCTTGGCTGGCTGAAGTTTCCTCTGCTCTGCTAAGCCAGGCTACACCTGTCACCCACTGCCTCAGTGAAGGCTATTCCTGCTCCCATCCTGCTTGGTGTGGCCATTATGCAGATAGAAGATTCAATTTCTGAAATGTATGATACAGAACTGAGTTTCATGGACTCTGTATGCTGTGACCATAAACAGTTATTTCAACTCTTCTTTCTCTGTACTCTTCATACATATACCCTGTACTCTTCAGACTTTCTATATTTAAGTTGGCTTAACGATATTTATTTTCAAGATACCCTCCCTTCTATTCCTTCAGCCTTCTGGCTTGCTTTGAAGACAAAGATCACTGCAGGCACTTGAAGGCTTTTGAGAAACCGAAGTTATTCCTCCTGTTTCACTATTTTCCATGTATTTAACTGGGCTTTCAGACAGAAGATGAACATTTATTAGCTCTTCTCAGCATCACAATTCTGTTAACTTATACATTCATTTGACCTCCTCTCAGGTTTAGAACAGGGGCACAACAGTAGTGAATGTTTTTCCTCCCTCTATTACCTCCTACATGAAGAAGCAAAATTGATAAGAAGGAAGACAACAGTATTATTGTACAATGACTAACAGTTCTTGTTGTGAGAGGAAAAGAGAAGAATCCATGCCAGAGGCTCCAGCCTTCCACAGCCATTTCTCACATCATATGGCTCTAGCTCAAGGCACAAACCAACAGTGGCAGTTTGCCCTAAGATATAAAATCATAAAAAAATGTAATTGTAGTTATTATTCACTGCTGTTTAGTCTGCCTCTTCTCTCCTCAAAGGACACAGTGAGGCATCTTAACAGACCAAAACATTCCCACTGCACAACTCATTCCAGCAACTGGCCAGGGGATGGACATGCATAACACGACTTGCAGATGAAGCAGATTGGCAGCTTGCTCGTGCTCTTGGATGAACCATTCCCATAAAAACAGTCAGTATCAGATCCCTGAGGACAAGCAGTGTTTGCACTCACACAGAAACTACCTGCATTGTTTATGTCTAAAAAAATTTGCCATCCTAGTCTGAACTTTTAGAAGAATACACAGCATTTTTTCTTTAGTTACTATGACAGGCAAGTTTATGTGGAAAATTTTAATGTAAATAACAATATTAAAGCCAACCTAATTATTAATCTCACACAGATTTAAATCTTATTGAAAGGCAGAATATGATGTCCATTCTCATACACATTTTTTTTTCCAATTAAAAATCCTAAACCTTCTTGATATCAGGCAGCCATGGGCCACTCTTTAACAGCTCCTACAATTTCAAGTGTTATTGCTCATTGCAGGAAGGTACAATGCCATTTTCATGAAGAGGGACCTGCGTCTTTGCAGATCCCTCAGTCTGTCTTTACTTTTTCCTTAATAAAAGTTGAGAAGATAAGCAAGGGCCTCACAGCCATACAGTGAAAATCCTAAATCCCCTAAGCTGACTGAAGGATCTCTTAAGGCATGTCTGAATTTACACCTCACTAATGAAGGCAGGTTGAGAGATTTGGGGCCGCTCAGCCTGGAGAAGAGAGAGCTTTGGGGACACCTTGGAGCCATTTCCAGGGCCTAAAGGGGTGCCCAGAGAGCTGGAGAGGGGCTTGGGACAATGACCTGGAGTGATAGGACATGGGGGAAAGGACTTAAGCTGAAGGAGGGCAGGATTAGATGAGATTGGGAAGAAATTCTTCCCTGTGAGGGACTTGGGCAGGCCCTGGCACAGGTGCCCAGAGCAGCTGTGGCCGCCCCTGGATCCCTGGAAATGTCCAAGGCCAGGCTGGACAGGGCTTGGAGTACCCTGGGACAGTGGAATGTGTTCCTGCCCAGAGCAGAGGGGCAGAATGGGATAAATTTTAAGGTTCTTTCCATCCAGATTTTCCATCAATTTTTTACATGACTGTCTCCTTTCCTTTCAAACAGCTCCAGATAAATTACCAAAGTTTAATATTTCTTCTTTTGGCTTTGCAAAGCAGAGCACAGTAGGAACTGGATGCCTATTTTAAGAGACAATGTGTTCTCCCAGTATCTTTCCACCACACACCAGTTAACAATTATGGTTAACTCAATGGTTACACCATTCCATGACTATCTGTCTAAATATTCCTCAGGCTGTGAGTTCAAGGAAACTACAGATTTTTAATGTCAGCAGAACTCAGAAACACACCAGGTGAATTTGTCATTTTGAAGCTCAGCAGATCCATCCCATCACCCCCCGGACACTCGGAGCGACCTGGGGATGCAGGAAAAGGCTCTGCTGGCACACACAGGACTTGTGGTAATGTACTCTTAATTCCCTCCCTTCTCCCTGGATCACCAACTTCCCTGCAGCTTCTGCAGAACTGAGCTGCAGGATCATGTTTCAGGATGTAATTAGCTGTACAAAGAGAAAAAAATGAAGGGAAAATGCTTTGGTCGTTTTATTTTCCATGCATAAACTACAACTTGCAGTGAAATCATCGCTGTAAATGGACAAAAGAAAAACTTTCCATGCTAAAACTTCAACAAACAGGTTTGCTCCTTATAGACGACAGGCTTTAAGTGCAGGAGTGGATTAGGGAAACATAAACTGAAAAAAAACAGTTCTAATTTTAATAAATGTTTTTATGTTAAGGCTACATCTGCCAAAGTGTATTAGATATTATTATTTTATAAAAATCTACATTAAAGTCATGCCACCTGGAAACGAAACTTCTAAATACAGAAACCAGCACTGACTAAAACACACATTTTTTTGTTTCTTTTGCAAACACTCCGTTTCCTTGTTCCTTATGTGACTGTAAGTACTGGGAAAGGATTTCCAGCTGTGCCTTGTCAGCCTCGGGACCAAAGGCATTGTACTGCTCCTCATTTGCCCGAGCGAGGTTCCAGTGCTCCGAGCACCAGCACAGGCTGAGGCTCTGCACACAGAACTCAGCCCTGGCTCCCCAGGGGAAGAAGCTATTCCAGACTTAACTAAGGAATCATCCCACATGTTTCAACAATCCCTACAGTTTCTCTGTTTGTTTTAAAGATATCACTGAGATTTTGTTTCATTTGCAACGGGAGACTAAATGACAGCAAGCAGAATCTGCTGTTAGGTTAGATTTCAAGGTAAAATGTTTTACATTTTAAATTACTGCTTAAAGCATGATGTTGAATGGCTTAAACTTCATGTTAACTTTGCAAATATGTAATATTTGAAATGAAATAATGTGGGCTATATTTAGCAATACTGAACAGAAATGTGTTTCTAGATTAAGTGTGCAATACCCGTTGAGTTGCTTTTTGTTCTGTCTGAATGTTTGCCATGCACATCCAACTTAAACTGACGGAAAGTGCAACTGCTCTGGCTGCTATGGATAAATGTAGCTTATTTCTGTGCAATGCATTTAAAAAAGAGTGAGTGAAAAATCTTGGCAAAGCTCTTTAACCCCTGTGTGTCATGAGAAATCACACTGACATCTTAGAAATGTGTTTGAATTTTGACTGAATGCATGAAGATAGATTATTTAATAAATTCTGATATTGTGGTATTTCTAAAGGGTTTCTCCTTTAAAAATTAACTATTTCCATTAACATAATAACAAGCTGACAGGTAGTGAAGATAAAGGTGCTGATTACTGAACACATTACAAAGTAAACGTAAAGGTAATAAAGATGCTTTCACGTACTGTTCCTGATGTAAATATTTATGGGAAAAATGAAAAAAGGTACAGCAATGCAGCCATGTTGAGACTATCTGGCAACACAAACGGTTAATAATTTTATAACACTGGCTATCTATAATTTTATTTTACTATGCAATGATTTATTATAAAAGTCATAAATTGAATAGGCTGAATTTTCCCCAAATTAAAAGCTGGCTGGCCCTATACAAAATATAGCCTCCTGAGAGACAATCTGATGATCCTAGACATGGGCAGGAAAGGCCCAAAACATCCAAGGCCTTTCACAATTTGGGCCTTAAAACGCGAAGCAGCACTTATTAACAAAACCAAGGAAAGGAACTCAGCAGCCTAGTGTTTTGCATGCACAGAACATAATTTGGTTGAAAGTAGCAATATTAAGCTTTTAGTGCTGAAAAGTTAAATTGGTATAAAAAATTAGCATATAAACACATGTATGTGAACAAGATTAGTTTATAAAGACATTTTTGGGGGTGTATGGTGTGTTTTCTGTTGTTTTATTTCTGATTTTTAAAAATTTCTATTTATAAAGTACTTTATGAAACCAAATTTCACTTTATAATAATTTGCTTAACTATAGAATTTTACTCTTGAAGTTCCTAGCAAAGCATCTTTGAATGTACATTAACATCTATACAGTTAATGCAATATAATTCACTCTATATTATGCCTGACTTTTAAAAAGAAATGGAGAATGGAAAAATATTTCAGTCATGCCTTTATGTGTCTCTAGTCACAGGAAGAAATGGTTAAATGTTAAAAAAGCCCAAGTGCAATGCAGCAGCATTGTAACTGCACAGCTCTGGTGTTATTATAGAGTATCCCAGAAAAATGGAACCATAACTAAGATGTCAGAAACTTGACAGAATGAACACACATGGCCAAACCTTTCCTTTGTACATCCAGTTTTCCCTGAGGGCTCTCGGTGTGTTTCAGCTCAGCTTGTGGAACAGAAGTTTCCTGTATAATTTTACACCCACTCATTACCACGCAAGGCAGACACCAAAGGCTTTGGCTCAACTGTCCTGAGGCACTCAGAAATGAGCAACAAGATCAGGCATTTTCAGTGCAGAGGGCAGGCTTCTGCATCTGTTGGAGAAGCTAACTAACAGTAATTGCTGTAAATAAAAAGCTATAGAGCCTATACAGCATTTTGGAATAAGTGATTTCTGAGGGGCAGAAAGCAGCAAACTAAAGTCTGGATTCATTTCAAAACCTGCCATTCCAGGAGATGCTGTGAGGATTTGTGTGAGACAGTTGCATCTCAAATTCCCTTCATACAGAAATAAAAATATTAACTTCAAGTCCTGCAAATGAATATCTAAATTTGCAATAACAATTTTAAAATAGTTGAACACAGAAACAACAATATTAAAAAGAAGTAAAATGCATACTTTTAAGCTTATTTACTGGCAATTTCCCATTTTAAAACATGAGAATAAAAAAAACCATATGAGAATTATCATGTGGAAAGCATGGAAAATATGCAATCAATCACATGCCTTATATTAAAGAACAGCTAGACAACTTGTACCAAAAATGTGACCTGTTCTATAAATCAGAAAATATCAAGATGAACAAGCTTTTAAACAAAATCTAATTCAGGCAAAACCACAGTTTAAGTTCCTGAAATAATATGGTTCAATATTTACACAATATAATTATAATAAGATTAAGTCCAAAATGAAAGATGACATGCAAAGCCAGGACTGATGAACATAAAGGAAAAGCGTTTTTTAATCCTCCCAAAACTTCCTCAGAGAAAAAACGTGGCCATGCTCTAAGCCTTGTCTTGGCCACAAAGCCCAAGAGCTCCAAGTCCTTCACTAATTCTCACTCTACCAAGAATACAAATGTCTCTGTCTGTGCTGTCTCAGTTAAAATAGGCCACAGAACAGCCGCATTTCCTCTTTGAAAGAATTATGCAACACAGCTCTGACAGATCATTAATGACCTTGGATGTACAGGCTCTTATTTCCACACTGGTACAGCAATCCACTGCTGGATATCCTTCCTTGTGTGTGCTCCTGAATTCTGACTGCTCTGTTTTGGAATGCCACCTATTGGTGACAGTAAATGTATTTTTTCTGTGACAAGCATAAGAAGGCTCAATTATTTTGAACTTTTTAATAAGCAAATGCAGAACACAACCCATTCTAGACTGACCATACTAGAGCCTACACTTCATAAAACTTCCACTTAAAAAGCAGCTATGGGATACCACAAATCGCACAAACTTCCCGAAGGTCTCTGCAGAACCAAGTAGATCCTGTTAGAGAAATGGATGGCCAGAGATGGATGGAGAAGCAACATATCTTCATTTACAGTGAAAAAACACCTTGCACAGAAATGCCAACCCAAAAGCATTTGGGGCAGTACATCACAAATGAATTGGGCATTTTTCTGTTACTTTTCCATTCCCACACTCTGGAAGAAATAGAAAAAGGAAGAAACACTCAACAGAACTCTCAAGAAGTCCCTTGCTGGGAGCAGCAACAATTCCTGAACAGCCAATGCCTCTGGCACAGCAAATCCAAATCACCTCTTCAAATGCAACCCCAAACACAAACCAGCACCTGTTTGATGGTGACTGTTGAAAATCACTACAATCAAACTGGTCACTGGAGCTCTCAGAGGACAATTTCTTTCCAAGGGGAACCTTGGTTATATCGACCTACCATTTCTTAGTTCACCTGCCTTGAAAAGTGCCCTGTGTGGCCGATATGGTCCTAAAAGCTTTCCAGGTCCCTGATTCCCCTGTTTTTCCAATTTCAGGACACTGTTGGACCCACAGACGATGCAGGCCCCATCACTGCTCTGTTGTGTTCTGCTCCTGTGGCTGTGCAGGGATCTGTGCCCAGCTGAAGGCGCTGCTGGCAGGAGGCAGAGGAGGAGGCTGCCCCCCAGAGCAGGCGGGTTGGAGCCCAGGATCCCGCTCATCACCATCGATGGCAGCGTCATGGGCGTGTTTGACTCGCTGCTGGGGCTGGGGCAACACGAGAGCATCTACAGCGTCCTACCAGGTGAGAACACAGCCCCTCTGCTCCTCGGGGGCTGGCTTCTCATTTCAGACAGATGAGCTCACTAAAGCTTTATTTTAGCTCTACTTCCACACATACCTGCTGTCTTCTGCAGTGATTTTGTGGTTGGCAATATGAGGCTTTTTATCAAACCCTGTTTTGCCAGGTAACAGCAATATTGCCTGCAAGTTTTTTGCATTATTTTTTGATCTGAATGAACAAGAAATTTGTTGGGGTACTTTCATACTTCCAATGTGTTCCAAATTTGAAGGCCGTTTTGAAGAATTTATTGCTCCATATATCTCCTAAATCAATTAACATTTCACTGAAGCCTCATCACCAGTAACAGCAGTGTTAATTAAAATAGATTCAAGTTTTTATTTTTACTTTATGGGTTGCATTTTTGAAAAGCAAATTGCACATGCAAATTCAGGAATAATTTTTGATTTTCTAAATAATAACACTTGGTAGTGGCTGCAATATGGAAGTTACACTGTAAATGAGACCTTTATGATGGAAAACTGAGTTAAAAGGGAAAAAAATCCTACTCATTCAACACAAGGCCACTTATGCTCCATCTATATTGATAACCCAGATTTATTTAATAGAAGTTCAGTAGTGTGATTTATAAAAAACTTGCCTTTTTGGTGATCCAGAGGTTTTCACCTCTGTAGTAATATACATTTTATAAATACAGATATTTCCATTCCTCCATCAAGAGATCACACACTAAGTAAAATCTTCATATGCAGTTCAATGAATTTGATGGGGAAAAAAAAAACAAAAACCAAAACCAAAACAAAACAGAATACCCTGATTCTCATATTCTATATTAAATAATAATAATGATAAATTTCCATGAGCAAGAATTTAAGCCTTTCAATGTGTCACACAACAGACATGACCAGTGGGTTAAGAGGTCTCAAATGGCCAAACATAGACCAGACACATTTTTTCCACAACTACTGTTTGTTTTGAGTCCTTACTTCAGAAAGGCTGAACTATTTCAAATCAAATATTTGAAATTAAGGGGTTTGAATAGTAAAACTAGCAAAACTCTGGACTATAGCATTTTCAGTGTGTATTGCAACATTATACATATTACTAATGTCAAACATTTAATTTGAAAATATTTTTTAAACAGAGGAAAATACCACGTAAGTAGCTTACACTTCACGTAAGATATTCCAGAGTTTCTGTCAGGACCATCAGTCATGCTGAAATAATGCACAGCTCTTCCCCCTCCCCACCCCGCTTGTTTCTTTCTATCTGGACTTGCAGCCAAAAGCTGAGCTAAAACCACTGAACTCATTTTATTTGGAACTTCATGCTGAATTTACACCATATTTCCAAAGGTTAAAAGTCCTATGCTCATCTGCCAAAGACTGGAACCACAAGGTATTTTTTTAGTCTAGCTTTTAAAGTTCAAAATTTTTTCAAGTTAATGTCAGATTTGGAAAAAACAGTCTATTAAATAATAGAACACTATTATTAATCATGTTTCAGAATAAAAGAAAATGCAATCCAAACATTAATTTTCATTCTCTTAGCTACTTGTTTTGGTCTTAGATCAAAAAAAACCCAACAAAACCCAAACCAACCTGACTTTACAGATATATGCAGGATGAAAATCAGCAGCTAACTGGAGGTTTACCAGACGTATCTAATTCCTCCAGATTAGAATAATGTGAACATTTAAATTAAATCAAACAGTTGTCCACAACATGAGGTAATTTGCAGTTGTCCATTAGGCAGAGCAGAGTAGAATGTTCACTGCTGATGTTCACTGACCATCTCTGATCTCTCACCCCCCACCTCTCCCTGCTCACACCAAGCTGAAGTGACTCAGTGGTCAGGAAATGTGAGGAGCTTCTCAGCACAGACTTTTTGTGTCTCACAGGGGTTCTGGGAATCCCAACAGTGCCAGACAGCAGCTCTGCAATGCAACCAAAGGGTAAAACCTTTGTCTTTGAGCACATGCAACTCTCATGTACCCAGGGAAAAAAGGATCATTTGTTAAAGAAACCTGCAGAGGCCAAGCCTGATAACTTAGATCTTTATGCTTATTCAGACAAGATTTACATTGACTTCTGATACACTCTAGTAGCTACAACAAAAGAAAGAATTTTAGGAAGCACAGAAGAATTTCCTTCTCAAGCCAGATTATGCTCTTCTGGAACAGTAATCGTTTTATTGTTTAACATGAGAAAGTGCAGGATTCTTTTTGTGTTTCTTTTGGAGGTTATTTAAAAGAAGTATTGTGGTGTACTGGCAAGCACATAAACTCCAAAGTCAGGATCCAGCAAACAGCTGGATTGCAGATACCTGGGTGGAATGACAAGGGACTTAAAGCCAACTAACACTTGGCCCTGGCTAATTCCTCTCCTCCTCCAGTTGACATGGTTGGAGTTGCTTAGAGCACAACTTTATGCAGCTGAAATGAGGCAGAGATGTCCCCGACCTTTGAAAAAACAAGATGCAACTACTCAAAACTTTAATTTCTTGTCTTTTCCATCCTAAAAACAATTGAAATAAAAGCATTTTTTAAAAAAACATGGAACATAGAGGATCATCCAAACTGGATGATTCTGATAATTTATTTTATTGTAGAAAACATATTGATATCCAGTGGTCTTTGAGCAGAAGGACAAAGGAAGAACCTTTGTTATGAAGTAGGACTACCTTGAAAGACTTTGCAAAATGCCTCATTTTGAGACAAATATTAATCCCAGAGACATTTCAAATAAAATATTTACAATAGTCTTACAAGGTTATTTAAAGGCTATCCTGAATACTCTTATTAAAACTAAACACCCAGGAATGGAGCAGGGCAGAATGTGGGAAAACAAACCCTGCAAAGAACCCCTCCAAAGACAATTTGTGCACAAGTGAAAGTCTCCTGGCATGCAGATTTAGGTGAGGAAAGATTTTTCCACCGTATTAATTTTCATCTGAAGGAGGAAGTCAAACTGAATAGGAAAAGAGGTAATTTCTTTTTCTTTATATGCAGGGAAGTGCAAAGTTAACTTGGAAATGAGTTTTCATCTCAAAACAACACTTCAGCAATGCATTCTTAGGTTGGTTAGAAAGAGGAAAAGGAAGGTGTGAGGGAGTTCAGCTTCTCAACAAGATTTAGAAGTACATGGAAAAAAAGGAGTATTTGCATGGGATGAAGAATCTCAGCCTTGGTTTTCCTTCGCTCAAAAAGCCCAAAAATAAAAAAGCAATGTGCTAAGTGCAATGCTTATCCTGGAGTCTGGGGGAGAACTTCCCAGGGAAGATTTTGCTGAGGTGAACTCCACCACTGGAATGAAAGGAAGACCCAGCTTAGTTTCCTTCCCAAGTCTCTGTGCTCTCCAGATCACTTCCCTACTGAATATATGACTAGAGCTTACAGAATTACATTTCTTTCTGAAAATTTCAACCAGCACCCTGGGGAGATCTCAATCTTTTATGGGTACATGTCCAGAATTTTCAGAGACAGAGTATTTCATAGCACAAGTTGTTCTAGATTACTGCTTTTCTAGAAAAGAGGTTTGTTTGTTTGTTTGTTTCCCCCCCCCTCCCCAGATAAAGCAAGTTACAGGGAAGTGGAGATTTTTGCCATCTCATCAGTCATCCCAGAATGGAGTTTACTTCCACCAAACCTATGAACTGTCACTATAAACCGAATATTGTTACCCTCCCAGTTCTGCAGGGCCTTAATAAAATTTTCTCATTTAATGTACAAGGTATTAGAAAAGATCTGTAGTGCACAAGAAAGGAAGAGAAGAAGGTCTGGAAAAAATATTCAAGTTTTCCATAACTGGAGATTACTAAAAAGCTGAAGAAAATACAGCTATGAAAAGTAAGGAATAATGATAAGATCCATTGAATAGGGTGTATTTTACATATTTTCAAAGTGAGAACATAATAGTAGTGCTTCTTTCCAAAGTTTTAAATGAACACTGTTGGTTTACTTTGAGCTGTTTAACTCCCATTTCCCATTTTCTGTCCCCAGGGAAGAAGGGGCAGTGCACAGCTAACGGGATGATCATGTTTGACAAAGCCGTGTGGTCTCCCCAGCCCTGCGTCACCTGCCTGTGCTCCAAGGGAGAGGTGATCTGTGACACGGCCATGTGTCACCCTCTGAAGTGTCCCCAGACCGTCATTCCTGCAGGAGAGTGCTGCCCAGTGTGTTCTGAAACTGGTATGGGACACCACACATTTTTTTAAAACCTTACATAAACACTGCATTTAATGACCCCAAAAGTTACAAGGCACACATTATCCTGAATTCTGTGATAAAAGCAGCTCTTCAGAGCTTCTACTCCAGCTGACCTCAGTTTCTCTGAACACTCTGTTAGATGAGTTTGATACAACATTTAAAGATAATGCTAAGTATGCAATATTAAATATAATTGTATTTATTTTTTTACTTCTCCTTTGTGCTTCCCCCTACGTTTACAGAACTTTGTCAATGTACGAAGAAATAACATCTTCTTATATTTTCTATCCCACTTCCATTTATAAAGGAATAGAACTACTACTACAATAACTGCTGGCCATTATTGATGTATTAGACGTACAGACTGGTAAATCTTGTAAGGAGTGCAAAAACTTGTAGCAATTTGATGTAAATCAACAGAAGAAAGTTAATTCACAAGAGAACCCTCAGAATTACAATCTTGGTATTTCACAATAATTTAAATAAAACTGGTACTTTTAAAAAGGAAAGGAATGGAGGAGATAAATACAAGATGCGATTTCCTTCGTTTCTTTCCCATACTCCCAATATTTTATATGTGCAAAGTACTGAATTCAATCTCCTATTACTGTAAGAAATATTTATCCTCATGTGTATATGCATGTGACACTGAGATGAGACATAGGAATTCATTGTAGAACTGTAAAAGTCATGTTGACTGAGATATTTAAACTCCTTTTATTACAATTGTCCTATTATGGAAGTAAAAACTGCATTTTGGAAATTGAATTAATGCATTTCCCTGGTGAGATCCCCACCTGCAGCCAACTCTTCCCCTGACAGTCCCTTTTGGATGAGAACAAGCCTTGACCTTTGTGAATTTTTTCCAAATTAGCTCCCACTCCCAGACACATTATTTTTCCTCTTTAGACACCTCCATCAACACAAAACCTATAACAAATAATAAGTCAAAAAGGAAGATAATGAAGGCTATATTCATTTTTCCACCTTTCTGTCTGGAGTTCTCAGGAACTGTAGCTGTGTGCAAACTCTTCTGTATGGCTGCCTCCATAATTAGTCAGTCAACTGTGTCTTTTATCAAGCAGCAATTTAAGACCACATTTTTATTCTTTGAATCGTTTTCTAAGAGGAAAAATATTTTATAGTCATAATTTTCTACTGTATGTTGGAAACAGTGCTTACAAATAATTAATTTATCAGACTCTTTTGTGTTGTTTTTCCCCTCATTAGCCTCCTCGTTGGACTCCAGTATAATTTCACTGGATGACATCAGTGAGTTGTCTGGTGACTCCCCAGACCCCAAGGACCTCGACACCACCAGTGTTCTGCCATCAGCACAAACTCAAATGGAAAAGGATGAGCTGCTGCCAACAGAAGTGATAGAGGTCAGAGACAAGAAGGGTCACAAAAAAGGGGAGAAGAAAAGAAAAAGGAAAGGCAAAAAGAACCGCCAGAGGCACAAAGGGCGTCACAGAGAGAAGCTGCCTGTCCCCAGAACAAGAGCAGCAGGAGATGAGCAATATGAAAGTGATGAAGATGATAGTGCTCTCAGAATTCCATCTCATTTCCCAATTCCTGTTCCACCCATAGAAGCTCCTCCTTTGCCCTCTGGATGTGCCACCTCAGACACCACAGTAAGCTGCATTAATGCCAAACTTACACAAATACCTCCCATCTCAGATCCAGACCTAACAAGTTTAGACCTTACAGGTAATTAATGGATCTACTTTGCATGACTTTTCTAACATCATCCACCCTCAGATGCAGTCAACACCACTGTTAATACTTTTTCAATCCTTAACAAAGAAAAGTTTTAGAACTAATTTTACAGCCAAGTTTTAAAACAAGAAATAAAACCCATTAGATTTGCATGCCAGCACTTAAATACTAAGATGATTATATCTACACAAAATTACTGTCCGTAATGCTGTTTTTGTGATATATTTTCTAGATCCAATACTACACACCTCAGGTGCAGACTGTATTTCATAACTCAAACTTTTTTCTTGCTTTGTGTCCCAGGAAATAGCATCACTACTATCTCAGATGAAGCTTTCAATGGGTTACCTAATTTGGAATGGATTGATCTGAGTAAAAATAACATTACCTCTCCTGGCATAGGTCCCAAAGCATTCAAAGTAAGAAAGTCAGTTCCTCTTCTGCTACCCTCTCAGTAATTGCTGCTTTTGTTTTTTAAATAATGTTTTTTGCTTTTCAGTTTATGGATCTAAGCCACTTTGCACCTTGTATAAGCAAGCATTGTATAATTCAATAGCTACTTTAAGAAATCTCTCACCATAATCAAGAACTAAAATTAAGATATGATAATTTTTCATACCAATTTTTTAAGCTGGCTTAAGCATAATAACCCTCAGTTACTGAAAGCTGCTTCTGCCTGAGTAAATTTGCTGACCTACAAAAAATCATCAGTTTACTCACAGATCAAGAGGATAAGCATGTAATTTCTAAATGCATGTACTCTGAAGTCCTAAACACTGCACAGTGTAGTGAGGCAATATTTCCACAATTCACAGAGAGAAGCAGAATATGAACAATGATCCTGGGGAGCTGCAGCAGGGCTGTGGGGAAGCTCTTTGAGTTACATATGACATTAACTGGCACTTTTCTTAATATTTAACAGAAAGTAGCCTATTAGACTGACAGGAAAAAAAAATAATAGTTTTTTAATTCAAAACACTGGATACTACTGCACTGCTGCTGAAAAACCTTACAGAGTGTGTGTTTAAGAAAATCTTAACTCAAAATTTAACTGCGTATTTTGCACCTTGATAATATAAATGCTCTTCCTCCCTGTGAAAGATCCTGAAAAAGCTGAAACGTTTGTATTTGGATGGAAATATGCTGGTACTTATTCCCTCTGAATTGCCACCAACTTTGGAAGAAATAAAAATAAATGACAACCAACTTCATACCATTGATAAAGACAGCTTAAAAGGTATTTTAAAAAAGGAATGTCAATTATGTGAAAAGTCAAAAATAAATTTCAAAAACTGAATGTTGAACCTGGTTTGACATAGAAAAATAATTGTTAGCTTTAAAGTGCCATGTCTTTAAAAGGCAGCACAAGCTAAAAGACTTGCATGACAAAGTATTTTAAAATTATATTTTTCTTTATGCAACTGCTCCTCTCTCAAAGCAGTTTATATTTAAGGTCACTAAGTGGAGGTGAATTTGAAGCATGTTGAAGACACCTGCTATCCCCACCTTTAACCTAATGGCTTTATGAGTGGTGAAACCATTTTAGTTATTTTTAAATTGCATGGGAGTGAACAGATTTTGATGTCCATGAAAAATAAGGGAGAATATAATTGGAGTCAACCACCGTCATTTGAGGTCAGTTTAAACACAAGCTGATAGAAAAAAGAAAAAGGAAAGGGTACCATCCGCGTCAGAATTTGAAGGACTTTTTTGCTTCATTTCCTCTCCTGCCAAAAGGGTCCCTCTAAACTGGATCAGCTGCTGCCATTCCATTCAGACTGGGAGAGGAAAATGTAAATAAAGCTGTGGTCAATCTCTAAAGCTCTACAACCTTATGAACAATCCATGATTATGAGATAATAAAATCAGTTCATTTTTATTTTTCATTGGTGTGAACTGATCTGGGTAATGCTTAAGACTGTTAAATTATGAATGTGTATTTTAACAAGATATACAATGGCATTAATTAACTGAAATTAAACTTTTTCTCCTTAGATTTAAAGAACTTGGTCACTCTGGAATTAGAAGGAAATAAACTTAGTGAAGCAAATGTCAGTCCTTTGGCCTTTTATCCTTTGAAAAGTCTTTCTTATTTGCGACTGGGAAGAAATAAGTTTAGAATTATACCACAAGGTCTTCCTGCCACTCTTGAGGTAAAAAAACCCCCAAAACAACCAAAATAAATACTAACAACAACAACCCCCCGAACAAACACCCAAAGAGATGCAATTCCTTCTTTTTGTCCTTTCAAAGTAATATGTATTCTCACAAATGAGAAAACAAAACAATTGCTTTGGAAAATTGTGTTTCTGAAGGTCCCACTGCAGCTACAAAGTGATTCTGGTTCAGATTCAGAATTAACAGATAGACCAGGGGATACGGGGGACAGGTAATTGCTGCACTTGGAATTTGCAATGGGAAAACTCAGCCTATTCCAATCTCACAAATTTTCTTCCCAAATGTACATACAGGAGTTATATCTTGAACATAATCAAATTGAAGAAGTGTCAGAAATTTGCTTTAACCATACCAGAAACATCAACATCATTGGCCTAAAGCATAACAAATTAGAAGAGCACAGGATAGCACCTTTGGCTTGGATAAACCAAGAGTAAGTACCAGACATTTAAAATACATTTATTTCATTTTTCTCTCTTTTTAGTGAGTCAAATAATCAAATAAATATTTGCACTTCATTACTTTTAACTTCGAGTTGTAGTTATGTTTTGATTTGTTTTCCTTTGCTAATTTTTCTAAAATTCCTTTGCCTAATTGTATAATCTAGAATATAGTCAGCTGTCAAATAGAAAGATCTTTTGCCTCAAATCTCTACCATATTAATATAAAAGTCAATATTTTTTCCTGACCACCCATTCAAAATTGAACATTAACTATAAATAATAACTATATACTATATAATAACTATAAATAATACTATATACAATTACATGGTAATTTAGTATTGATACATCATTATCTCACAGGTAATTAAAAAATAATAATACTATCCAAGCGTTATTTCCCAATGGATTAAAAATTATAAAAGTAAGTAAGATGAAGGGAAGACTGTGCAGCTGCGTTGTCTAAGAACAGAATATAAGCAGAGTGAGCAATGAGAATGTTAAGTAGTAAAAGATGATAGTGCTTTTGATTTTCCTGCTAAATAATTTGCCAAGCTGAGCAGGGTACCTGGCATCACTGGCAGCTGCAGCCCTATCCCTTGATTCCTGAGCTTGTAAATTCCTTAAGCTGAAAACAACCACGCTGTTACTACTGATGGCATCTCTCATCCCTGGAAGCGAAGCATGTGGGACCGATTCATTCACACAATTCCATTTCAAATGGGCTTCAGAACAAAGCTTAAAACTCCCTGTTAATGGGATAATGACTGAAATCCCAAGGTTATTCCAGTTCTTCAGTGTAACTCATTATTGCAGCAATCCCAAATAAGTCCCTTGGGATTCCCCTGTTCTGCAGTAATGAGATCTCTCATTACTGGAGATCTCCTCCCATCTACAAAATCATTGTGCTTGATTGGTAATTCATGACTTAATTATTTCTATTCCCAGAGTAATTATGCATGACCATGGTCCATAAAACGCATTTTGCCCCATTAAGAGAAATATTTCCCTTGGAAATTTCATTCCCTGGTAATGCTGTGAAGCAGAGCCTTGTACAGAACACAGCACTGCCAGGGAAGGAGCTCAGAGGGGTTTCAGTATTTTTTTCTTTTCTCCTTTAATGCAGGAACTTGGAGTCAATCGATCTCTCTTACAATAAGTTGTATCATGTTCCCTCATATCTGCCAAAATCTTTACTCCATCTGGTACTTATAGGAAATCAGATTGAAAGAATTCCAGGCTATGTGTTTGGCCACATGAGGCCAGGGCTGGAGTATCTCTACCTGTCCTTTAACAAACTCACCGACGATGGCATTGACCCGGTGTCATTTTTTGGAGCTTACCACTCCCTGAGGGAGCTCTTTTTGGATCACAATGAATTGAAGGCTGTACCCTTTGGGATTGATGAAATGAGAAAACTACGTTTTCTAAGACTGAATAATAATAAAATAAGGTAATTTCCAAGCTCTTTGTTTCATTAATCACATTAAAATAAATAAGATATGCTTTGCTTTAAGACTTTGTTGTTTTAAAGTAAATATTTGTTTAAAAAGTCTGAAGGAGGAGCTGAATCCTGAATTTTCTTCTGCATTATTTCTTAATATGACAGAAGTGAGATTTCCCCCTTCCTCACAGTTACTGAAAATACTCATCACCAGCAATCACCAGCTTTCCTGCTCTTGGAGCAGAGCCCAGAGTGATAACAAAATAATGGTAGGGGTCAGCAGCTGGAGTCACCTGATGAGCAGGTTCCACCAGCCCCAGCTGGGGAGCCACGTGTGCAATCCAGGCCCTCTGTGCTGTTTTGTAAGGCCAATGAATAACAATGAGAGAATTCCAAGTGTCAGACAAAGTTTTCATTCAGCAACATGTGTCAATACTTTCCTCAGGAAAACCCAGTCTATGATATAAATGAGAAAAGAATGCAAGGAGAGAATGTTCAAAATAATGGCTTTTGAAAGTCCTCAGTAAATATGTAATTAAGAAAATCTAATGTACTCATGAACTTAGCATCTTCAAATATCTAAATAGACAGCAACTCTAAAATAAATGATGAAGTTAAGAGTTACCTGGAATGATTAGAACATGATTGTAACATGATCCCTCCCCTGTGTCACAGGACGGTGCCCCCAGAACGCATCTGCAGGACTCGGACCCACCACGAGGATGAGCAAGACCACAGTGAGGAGGAGCATGAAGATTCCCACTTGGAACATGTTCACCTTGAAAACAACTACATCAACACAAGGCAGCTCTCCCCACATTCATTTTCATGCATAAGATCTTATTGCAGTGTTGTTCTTAAACCACAGAAGACCAAATAAACCCGCGAAATTCTGCATTACAACCCCCATCTCTACAAATGTAGTTTTATTTATTCTCTCTACTCATTGGTCTGCTTATTTCTGATTTAAACCCTTCCTACTACCATAAATATGATACTGTATATTATCTACTGAAGTAAGGTACCAGTGTGTTTCTTCATATTGTTTCATTATAAAACTATTAAATGTAAAAATTGAAGCTTAAGATTATGACATCTATTTTTATTTCTATTAACACTATTCTGCTTAAACACGGATCAAACTGTGTCCCCAGCACACCCTCTATAAGATCAGATTTTAGGATTTAAAAATATAACTAAACCCTCAGCTTGGTCTTATCTTATTTGATTAACTGAATTTAAAACATTTTAAGTGGTACCATCAACTGTAAAAATTGTACATAAAAAAGAAAAATCCTTGAGCTAAGAACATTCTATAGCAATGCAGGAATCAAATTTCTTAAAGCACACACAGGACTGGATTTTATACCAAACATTTTGCTTTGAGTGTTAAGCTCTCTTCCAAGTGAAAGTTTAAGAAAAAATAGTTAAATTATTTGTTTTAGATGACCCTGAAAACTTCCTGTATTCAAATACATTCTGATGAACTAGAGGAATGAGCAGTTAATTTTCCTATCTGGATGCTTTTTTTTTTTTAAACAAAGCATATTTTAATTTCTAAAAATTATTTTAGAAGTCACAGTAATAAGTTCCACTCATCTCTACCATACTTAGTTAGATTTTTACACAGTACAGGATGTGTAGTCTTATAATAAATTTAAGCAAGACACCACATATTGCCGCAAGTATTTTAATTCAAGTAGAATTCTTCTCTTATCAAACATTTAGAGTCATAAGACCCAAAAGGAATTCTCCACTGGATTTGCATGGGACAACACCACTAAAATACAGATGCATCAAGATTTATTGCGACCATTAACATATTTTTTCTCCAAGGTGTGCTTTTTCACTATTAAGATACCATAAAAGTGAACTTTATGCAACTAATCTGACTAAGATTATTCCTTTGTGAGTTTAGTACAATGAGTATCAAGCTTGCCTGACATCACACTGTGGAAGTTGTTCCTATGAGAAGCCCTCAGCAGTGGAATGTGACCTGAAGTGAAGTTACAATGCCAAAGTAAAGCTCCAGTAGTGAGACAGAGAATGAAGGAAAAATGTTCTTGAAATGGAGCACAGCAGTAGCAGAGGCAGGAGACCAAGAAAGAAGCCAAGGGATGAAGGACACAACAAATGGGTGTGTGCTTGCTCACTTCAGAAATACACAGGCTTACTTACACAACATTTTTGTATGTCAAATGGAAGCACCTCAAATCCACTCTTCAAAATGGCCAATTATATTGGAAGTGGAATGAGCTTTACTATAAAACTCTCATCAATTCTAAACAGTGAGCTTGAAAGAATTTTATAAACAAAGTAAATCGGATTGTCACAATTTTACAGCTTGTGACTCTAGGACACAGTGACCTGAGAATTCTTGGTCAAGAAAAACATGGGAACAAGTTTGGAATCTTTGGCCACCAGTACAATAAAAATATGCACGGGCAGCTCAACATAAAACCACTGTAGTTATTCTCTGAAATATACTTGAGCAAATAATAATTTTTGCAAGCTTACATTGGAAATGAACATATTTTGAGAAGGCCATTGGATTGAGAATGGAATAATAGTTTTGCTTGTTTGCGTGTTACCAGACTCAGAATTCTTGTGAAATAGTGTGTATGCGTGTATATATCTATATATCTATATATATAGATATATATATAGATATAGTATGAATATTGGGAGAGCCTTCATGGCAAGTCCCTGAAGAGGATTGCTTTGAAGGAGATCCTGCTAAGCCAATCCAGTAACATTTCTGCTAGGCAATGGGATCTGGGAGATGCATAGCAGCATTCTTATTTCTCCTGTTCTCCACAAACAGATGCAGATGACTTCTATTCATAGATAAATTCAAGAGTGAACCAACTGCAACTTTCTGTAACTGCAGAGATGTCCCATCAGAATTTTTAAAACATTTCTGAGAGGAAACTGCTTACAGTACAGCAAAAACCCTGAATATAATGTTTTCAGTAACTCAGCCAGAGACAAATGCAAGGTAAACAGATGTGAATACAAGGTATGAATGTTGAAACTAAAAAGGGAAAGATATTTTACAGTCAGTAAGAGACCAGAATAGGAAAGGTTAGGATTTAATATTCAATTCCAGAACCACAATGCTTTGTGGCATAAGAGGATTTCTGGGAGTTTAGAATCTCAGTTAGATTTCTAAGTTGTGACTTGCATTGTTGGCTCAAGTATCCCACATCAGAATTTTGACAAGATTTGCTAAATACCATATAAATTGAAATTGAACAGAAGACATCCTCTGGTTATCACCAAATTAATAGAAAAGGTAAAGAAGATATTGTTGTTTTTACTGGGGAAATTATAATGGAACTTGGAGGATCTGCCTGAGCCAGGGACAGGCGATTCTGGTATGATAAAAACTGTAGAGGTCTCCAAAAGAATAATGTTGTTTCCATGGAAGCTTGGACAGCTTTCTGAAATTGAAGGAACAGTTAGAGGTAATGTTTTCTCTAAGAAAGGTAAAAGAGCTTTCTTAGGGAAAAAAACTCAACAAAAACCGCACAAAAACCTCAGAAAAATAAAGGCATCAAATACCTCCAAAAATGAGATTTTCATTATTAATGCCTATGTGTTGAGGCTATATGAATCTCTGAGACCCCAAAAATGTTGAATTCATGCTATTTGCCCTTCTCCACTTTCCATTTCAATTTAACACAGATCCCTCCACAACAAAGCTACAAATCACTCTGCCCCGAAAAGGAGTTGCTGTGTGACCACTTGCTTTCTATTTGCCCGTGACCAAGTGAATTTTACTCTTACAGTAACACTATAGAGAGTAGTTGATGTAATTTCTGAATTTCAATTCTGAAATATCCATCATGCTTGCACTTACTGCAAAAACCTCTTAGCACGCTAAAAGAAAATAACTATCAGAACGAGGAAACAGAATGTTAACATTTTTCTACCAAAAATTTGGGCTTTTACTGAAAGAAATTGATGAACTTTAAAGCGCTTTCAAATCACAACTTCATAAACAGTTACATCACAGCAAGAAAATAAACAGTTTATCATTTGTGCCATGTGGTAATACCAGCGTTAACTGGTGGAAACTCTCCTGAGAAAGCATTTTCTCATTTAAGTACTTTGTTTATATTCCAATGTATACAATTTTCAGACAAGTCTATAGACTGAAAAATTGTAAAATTATGAGTAAATACTATCAAAATAATTTTACACACTATCCCTGTAACTTTCTGCAAGAAGCAGTTTGCAGAGAGCAACTCTGCTGACCATGGGTTTGCAGACCAATACAATTTCTCATGTTCTGGAAGGTTCCTCAGGAAGCTTCAAAATCTCTCCTCGGTTGGAAGTGCAACCCCAGGGACCTGCTTTGGATTTACAGCCTCAAACAACTAACCAGTGTCAAAACAACAAAGAACTTGAGGTACCAATATCTGATACAACTTCTACACCACCTCTCCTCGCTGAAGTCATGGATTGGGTTTTGGAAGACCAAACTTCAGGTCAAATCAGTGCTCTAAGGGGTCAGAACTACACCATGGCCACCTTGCAGAACATCCCAACCACAGAAGTGAAGCCAACCCTTTGGAAATAGTGAATGTTTTTAAAGAGATTTCCTTTAAAGCTGGTTTTGGCTGCAGGAAGCATTTAAAGGTTTAGTGAACCGTGTAACCAACCCTCATTTGGAAGAAGCCCTGCGTAACAGTCTTACTGTCTTCTTGTAAAGTGAAAAAGGTACAAACATCCATGCAAAAAGATTTATAATAATATGTTGGACTTGCTCAGAAGACACACATTTCTGTTTTCTAATGAACAAAAGAGATCCCTGCTTTTATTGCATCTTTAGTAACATGACCCATGTCTTACAGTTAGTTACCATTGAATTCCAAACTCTATTTCAGGGCTTTAATTTTACTTCTCTTGGCACACTGAAGACCATTTTAAATGGGGAAAAAACAGCAGACATGTGAAATAAGAGCTCTGATTTAAAGATGTCAACAACCGCTGTTCAGTCTCAAGGCCCCACAGTATTGTGGAAAAATGGAACGCTTTTTCCATCTAAAATAGCGAAGACGTCACTTAAAAACCTCTAAAATGTATTAAACAGATTTCTTTTTCCACATTAAGAAACAATCATATGATCAAAATGAATCTAGCTTTTTATTTTCCCAATAAATTAACATCCTACTCCTAAGTTTTATACAAGTCAGGTACCAAGAAGCTATGTTCAAATGCCTGCAAGTATAATTTGAACAATTTTTTTACAAATAGTGTTTAATGTTCCCAATAACCAGGTTACGAAGTCTCATTACAGATGCAATGTTCCTTGCTAACAGACACCCTGTTCTACATTAAAATTCCATCAGGAGAGACCCATAAAGACACAGCACTGTTCTTTAATTTTCAATTTAAGACGTGAAGAGAGACCATCGAGCAGAACTCTTCATAAATATCTTCCATTCCACATCATGCAAGAGTTACTGGGTCACTAAATTACCTTTAAGAACACATTCTGCACCATTCTGTGTCTCTGAAAGAACTTAAGAGACTTGAGTACTGCATAGAACATTTTGACCACCCCAGAAACCAATTAATAATAAATTACCCCTTTTATGATACCAAAATACTTCAGTTTGTAAAGCAAAAGTAAACCAACAGATTCATTACTTCTATGGTATCAACTTTTTCGCGCAGTAAATGTGCTTCTCTCAACTGGATAATGTTTGATCAGTTTCAAAAGTATCCCAGAGTATTCTGACTTGGAAGGGATCCATGGGGATCATTGATTCAGCCCCTGCACAGACACCCCAACAATCCCACCCTGTGCCTGGGAGTGTTGTCCAAACATTCCTGGAGCTCTGGCAGCCTTGGGACAGTGACCTGTCCCTAGGGAGCCTGGGCAGTGCCCAGCACCCTCTTTCCTGATATCCAACATAAACCTCTCCTGACTTAGCTCCAGCCACCCCCTTGGGAATGGCAGAAAAAAGCCAAACTACCTCAGGGTGAATCTCAAAACTAAATGAAACACCTGTCCCAAAACCACAGCTTTACATTGCTTCAAAAAAAATGGAAGCAAAGGAAGCCCAGTGTGAGG